CTAGTAATAGAAACTTGCTTGCTGTTCCCCTGTGTGTTACACTTACTCTTTCAAATGATAAAAGGTTTTGTAGCTACCATCGTTCATCAGAAAACTTCAACAAAAGTGTATTACATAAAATACTATCACCCTATCTCGCAAAAAGACTCAAAAAGTAAAAATAAAAGTGAGAACTCCCATTAGTTAGTGAAAATTCTCAAAGCAGGGGATAAGGAAGGAGACCACTACTACTCCCCTCACCTTGCCTAGTTCACAAGACAGGAGGAGAGAGAAAGCAAAAAGTTGGAAAGAAACCAAAGTAAGACAAACAGCCAGACAACCTAGGCACCACCACCCGGCCTTAGGAGTTAAAATTAATAATAATAACATCAACCCCTGACCTAAACTACTTGTGTTATCTGTAAATCTCAGACACTGTATGAAAAAACCATTGTAAAACTTTTTGTTCTGTTAGCTGATACATGTAGCTCCCAGTCACGTTTCCCACGCTTGCTCGATTTATCACGACCCTTTCACGTAGACCCCTTAAAGTTGTAAGCCTTTAAAAAGGCCAAGAATTTCTTTTTTGGAGAGCTCTTAAGATGCGAGTCTGCCGATGCTCCTGGCTGAATAAAAAACCTCTTCCTTCTTTAATCTGGTGTCTGAGGAGTTTTGTCTGCGGCTCGTCCTGCTACAGTATATGCATCTGCAGTACCAGCCACTCAGGAGGCTGAGGCCAGAGGATCTACCTGAGCCCGTGAGGTCGAGGCTGCAGTGAGCCATCATCACAGCACTGCATTCCAGCCTGGGTGATGGAGTGAGAGGAAGGAAGGAAGGAAGGAAGGAAGGAAGGAAGGAAGGAAGGAAGGAAGGAAGGAGGAAGGAGGGAGAGGGAAGGAGGAGGAAGGAGGGGAGGAAGGGGGAAGGGAGGGAGGGAGGGAGACATTTACATCAGTTGACTTTGAGTAAAGCAGATGACCTTCATACTGTGGGTGGGCCTAAGGGAGGAAGGGGGAAGGGAGGGAGGGAGGGAGACATTTACATCAGTTGACTTTGAGTAAAGCAGATGACCTTCATACTGTGGGTGGGCCTCGTCTAGTTGGTTGAAGGACTAAGAGGGAAAGACTGAGGTCCCCTATGGAGGAAGGAACTCTGCCTCCTGATGACCCTCAGACTCGAGATGGCAACAGCAGCTCTCCCTGGGTCTCCAGCCTGCCCTGCAGATTTCAGACTTGCCAGCCTCCAACAATCACATGAGCCAGTTCTTTACAATAAATCAGCTTCTCTCTTTCTCCCTCTATCTATCTATACACACACACACTAACTGTAGAGAGAAATGGGATCGGAAGGATACATCTTGCTGCTGGAAGGGGAGATTCTGGCCTTGGCTATAGGCTCCCCTGAACCCAACAGGGTGGGGACCACATGCACCCCCCAGAGCCTCCTCACTCTCTTCCCGGTGAGAGTCGTCCTCCCAGCTCCTGGCAGGCAGATCGGGACACACCGTGGAGCTCCACAAGTGCCTGTTGATTGAACAAAAGGCCTGAGCTTCCCCCACTGTGCTCTGCTACCCTTGACACTGGCGTGACAGCAGAGACTCCTGTAGGGCTGGCCAAGGGGCTGGACACTGGCACCCTCGTTCACTGCCACAGGAGGAAGCTCCAGGCAGCAAGGGCCAAGGCCAGGTCAGGTGGAGCCCACTCTCTCTCTATCCCTCTCTGTCTCTGTCTTATTTTGCCTTGTCTCTACATCCAAGCCCCAAATTGCATCTCTTGTTTTTTGCTATAGGCTTCAAAAATGTACACAATTTATAAAAAGTTTCAAAAATGTACACAATTTACAACTTACGAGATAATTAAAGTAAGAAATCCAAGTACTTCCCATTTAAAAAGTCCAAATCTCTAAAGCAAGGGCTCTGGCCAGAACCAAGAAGGGTGTCCTGGGGTCAAGAAGGCCCTGGGGCCACGGGGCTCTGCTGGGTAGAGGCGCCAAGCCGCAGCCCCAGGGAGGTTGAGGGGCCTGTTCTGAGTCTGTCCTCCTCCTCAGAAGCGGATTCCTGGATCACCAGGAGGAAAGGTGACCCAGATTCCTTTCTTGTCCCCAAGGCCAGTGAGCTCTGCCACAGGCTGTCTCAAACGTCCAGTGTCAAGGGGACAGGGAGAAAGGGGACAGCGTCAAGAGGGACGCAAGAAAGAGTTTGTCGGCAGGAGTTGGAAAGGCCTCCCATCTGGGAACTCCCTCCGCAGGGTAAAGGCGCCCCCAAAGCAAACACTGGCTGATCAGCCAGCAATCTCCCTTTGTGTGCGCCCGCCTGGCTGCTGGTGGGTGCTGTTCCGGGTCACCCTCCCAGCCCCTCCTGTTGCTCGAGGCTGTCCCAGTGCTGCAGGCCTTCATCCTGCACGGACCCTCAGGACTCAAGGATCCCTGCCTCCTGCCTCCCAGGCCTCCCGCCTGCTGGCCCTTGTGCTCAGACACACGGTAAATGCAAATGCCCATGAGCTCTCCCCTTAGCATCTGGGCAGCTGACTACACAGACACTGTGCCTCAGTTGAAAGGGAAACAGGGTTAGAAGCCAGACGAAGGCGTCCAAGCCAGGGCTGCCGGCTTCGTGACCTGTCTGCAATTCACCAACACCGAGGATCATCAGCACCACCGGGAACCTGCCCCGCCTGGGCGACGGATTCTCAGTCATCAGGAGAGACGCCCTGCCCTGCACCCCCTGCTGGGAGGGGAGGTCCTTCCCCAAGGAGCTGCCACTGGACCTCTGGAGGACCCCCACACTCCACCCTCAGAACCGCCCAACACCACCTGCTGTCTTTCAGGGACATCAGGGGCTGGGCCTGAACTCCGGATAGGGCTGAAGTCCCCGTGCCCTCACACCCATGGTCGCCTTTGGAACCGCGTCTCCCAGAGGCCCTCTCAACCACAGCCACTCGCCCTGTGCAGGGCCTCGCATAGGGGAGGGGGATGCCCTGGGGCTTTTCTCCGCCTTGGGAGAGCAGTGAAGCCTCAGTGCCGAGAACTTGGGCATAGACAAAGCAGAGTGGAGTGCGGGCCAGAGCTCGCCCCACAAACACAGCGGCTCCAACGTGACATTGAACGTCTGGTCTGGCGGTGACGGACATGATCCACAACCAAAGCAATGGGTCCTGGCCCGGGTTTTCCAGGCAGCCCCTGAATTCTCCCAACCCCTGCCCCGCCCTCGATTTGTTTCTTGGTTGTTAAAGATACTTTAAGCCTTTAAGAAATAAACGATGCCAAGAACAGGATTGGGATGCTTTGACTTTCTTCCCTCATTCCCTTCAGACTAATTTTCTTTTCATTTCTAAAATCACAGATTGATGACACCAACCACAAAACCAAACAGCAAAACTGGACTCCCCAAAGTCAACACCCCTCTGACTCACAGGGTCCTCCTTCCACACCACCCAGGGGTCCCACAGCTTCCAGAGCAGCCCTGAGATGGAGTTAGGGTTCTGCTCCAGGCGGAGATTAGAGAAGGAGGAGACTGAGACAGGGGCACTCTCGCTTCTACGTTGAGGCACAGAAGGGGCCGGGGCCACCTGCACTGAGGGAAGCACTGACCCCGTCCACACTCACAACGGTGGGAAGAGAAACTGGGGATGGAACCCCAGGGCACCACGTGGGACGGTCGCAGCAAGACGGCTTCATCCAGAAGGATCCTAAAATCTCACGCTCCCTTCACAGCCCCTGACAAGGCGCTGCAGATCCTGGGAGGATGGTACATGGGTCCCGGTGTCCTGTGCAGGGACACCCTGGCTCACTCACTCCCCTAGACAGAGGCCGGCTTGTTCTGGGGGAGCCTGGGAGAGGTCGGTTCAGGCAGAGGTCTTGCTCCTCCTCAGGCAGCAAGGCAGGGGGATACTCAGCCACCACTGGTCAGCACTGAGCTTCATCTCCATCTGTCCGTGCCCCGAGTAGCCTCCCTTGGCTTGGCTGGGGAGAGAGGGCCAGGGCTTGTCTGTGCTATCAACCTCAAGCCCCCACTATAGATGAGAAGCCCCCAGTCCTTTGCAGCACTGGATACAGGCGCTGCCACTCACTTCCTGGGGCAGCAAAAAGTGCACATGAAGCACTTTGGGTTCTTACAGCTCTTCCATTCGACACAATCTGGCTGAAGGGTCTGTGGAGCCCAGGGGGCTGACCCCGCCCCCCTACCTGCCGTCTGCATGTACTAGAACTCCAGGTAAGAATTCACATAAATCCAGGAGCCTGCTACTGCACAGAGGCTTCCTGGAAGCCCCTGGAGCCAACGGCCCCTCAGAACAGCACAATCGGCACTGTGCATGTGTGGTGTGTGCATGTGTACATGTGAGTGGTGTGTAACTGTGCATGTGTGTGGTGCATGCATGCGTACGTGTGAGTGGCGTGTGTGTGCATGTGTGTGGTGTATGCATGTGTACATGTGAGTGGTGTGTAATTGTGTACATGTGTGTGGTGTGTGCATGTGTACATGTGTGAGTAGTGTGTTACTGTGTGTATTGTGTGGTGTATGTATGTGTACATGTGAGTGGTGTGTAACTGTGTGCATGTGTGTGGTGCAGTGTGTGTACACGTGTGAGTGGTGTGTGTGTGCATGTGTGGTACATGCATATTTACATGTGTGAGTGGTGTGTGTGTGCATGTGTAAATGTGTGAGTGGCAATTGTGTGCATGTGTGTGGTGTGTGCATGTGTACAAGTGTGAGTGGTGTGTAACTGTGCACATGTGTGGTGTGTGCATGTGTAAATGTGTGAGTGGTGTGTAATTGTGTGCATGTGTGTGGTGTGTGCATATGTACATGTGTGAGTGGTGTGTAATTGTACCTGTGTGGTGTATGCATGTGTATGAGTGTGAGTGGTGTGTAACTGTGCACATGTGTGGTGTGTGCATGTGTACATGTGAGAGTGATCTGTAAATATTTGTGTACATTATGGATGTGTGTGGTGCGCCCGCCCCCTTGACCTCCGGCAGATGCGGCCCCTGGGCATTTCTGCAAGTGAGGCCTGAGCGATGCTTACTTCTGATCACACAGAGGCCAAAGAACTGGGTGTCTCTGATGCTCACCGCGTTGCACACTTGCTGGAAAAGCTCCCGGCCAGTGGCCTTCACCTGCAAAAGAGGTGGGGAGGGGCTCAGGGAGGGGCTGGCACCTGTCCCCAGGGAGGCCACCTGAGCAAATGAGGCCCAGTAGGGCACCAGGGGGACCACCCAGTCAGGCACTCCCTGCAGCTAACAGGTCTGGGTCCCTCACTCTCTCCCAAAGCTGAAGGCTAAACACCAGCCACATGCCCATCAGAGCACCTGTGAGTGCAGGGGAGTGAGGGTGGAGGGGGTGGGGTGCTCTGGACGGTGGATCAGGGCTGTCCCCTCCATCACTGTCTGTCCCTGGTGTGAGGATTTCCCGAGATCAGTCAGGGACACATGATGCAGCGTCACCTCCAGGGCCGCCCTCTGGGCTCTGTCCTCGCACAGCACAAATGAATGCTTGGTCTGCCATGAGCGTGAGCATAGGTGTCTCTCATCATCCATCGCCCAATTGATGCGAGTGATCCCAACAGTGTTCCTACAGCTGAGCCTCCCACAGCAGCCTCTAAACACCCAGCGTCTGGTGCGTGTCCCTGTTTCCGGTGTCCCGTGTCCACATTTCCGGTGCCCGGTGTCCACATTTCCGGCGTCCTGTGTCCACATTTCTGGTGTCCCGCACGTGACGCTACTTCACACCTGTTCGGCCCCGGCATGGACGGGACTGGCGGGCATCCCCTGCAGAGCTCTCCCTGAGTCCTGTCTGTTGCAGCTCTGGGGCGCGTCTGTGGCCACTGGGCAGGAGAGGCAGCGTTCTCGGGCGGAATTGCAGCGCGCCAAACCTGTGACCGATGGTGCCGGCCAGTAGCTGTGCGCTTTGCTCTCAGACTCTCCCGAGGACCCTCACTTGGGGCTCCAGGAGGAAATCTCACAGCAGGGCACAGCTAGGGCAGCTGGATCTGCAGGCGGCCATTTCGCGGTTCTTCATTTGTACCCTCTCAAGTCAAATGCGGTATCCAGCTTACTCATCCTGAGTTAATCCTGAGTTACTGTAAGACTGGCTTCCTTATTGATATGGTTTGGCTGTGTCCCTACCCAGATCTCATCTTGAATTGTAGTTCCCATAATCTGTCCGTGCTGTGGGAGTGACCTGGTGGGAGGTTATTGAACCATGGGGGCGGTTCCCCCCATCCAGTTCTGATAGCTAGTGAGTTCTCATTAGATCTGATGGTTTTATAAGGCGATTTCCCCTTCGCTGGGCACTCATTCTCTCTCCTGCCACCCTGTGAAGAGGTGCCTTCTGCCATGACTGTAAGTTTCCTGAGGCCTCCCCAGCCATGTGGAAGTGTGAGTCAATTAAACTTCTTTCCTTTATAAATTACCAAGTCTTGGGTATGTCTTTATTAGCAGCATGAGAACAGACTAATATGATTATTGTCTGCTTAAGCGTGGTGAAGGGCAGGTCCCACAATGGCAGTAACATAGATCCTCAGTGACGGTCTTCCCAGCCCATCCCTTTCTAATAACTGGGCTTGACACATATTTGGTTGAATACAGGGTTCCTGTCTAACTGCAGACACAGGTGTGCACACACTCCGATAGAGGGTTCCCTGTCTAACTACAGATACACATGAGTACACACCCTGATAGAGGGTTCCTGTCCAGCTGTAGACATGGATGCATGCACACCCCAACAGAGGGTTCCTCTCTTACTGCAGACACAGATGCACACATACCCCAATAGAGGGTTCCTGTCCAACTGCAGACACAGAGGTGCGCATACCCTGATAGGAAGTGGGCTCAGTGGTTGCCAACTTGCCGGGCCCAGCAGGGGCCACAGGAGTTGCAGAGGCACTTCAGGGGGCTCCATCAAAAACAGACGAGCATGATTCACCCAGGGGGTTCACTGTGTTCTGGCTGCACGATCCCTCAGTTAAAATCTTACTGTGAAATTCAGTGCAAGAAACATAACAGTTCCAGCTTTTATGGGGCAGGGGGCCAAAGCCACAGCATCTTCCCTGCAACAGGTCCTCTTGTGACCCCTCCCCCAAGCCTGAGGCACCACTGGGGCCCCCAGGAAACTACGGGACACCCCCCATTAGCTCAACTCCAGCTTCCCATTGCCGGGTGGGGACACAGAGTCTTGGGGGAGATTTTGCCACAAACATAGATATGGGCATTTACTTAAACACAGAACTCTATCTCCAGGCAGACAAGAGATTCCCAGGGGAATCTTGAACCAAGATATTACTAGCAAGTCATATTTCATTCCAGGTAGCGTTGATAAATTAGCTACGCAGAAAGTCATTGTTCTTTAACAAACCACTCTCATTTTAATTGCACATTTTCATTATCCACATTAATCATTAAAATGAAAGTACTCTCTCAACTCCTGTCCCCACAAACTCAACTGAAACAGGTAGACAAAATGGGGGAAAAGGAAAGAGAGAAGCAGAGAGACAGTGACATCTGAACACAAGACAGGAGCTACCCCTTGGAAACTAGCTTCCTGGTGCTCTTCCCTCAGCGCTCCCAGGAAAGATGTGCTGAACCATAAACTTATTTTTCACAGCAACGTCTATCAGTGATGTTTCCTTCACAGGCCCAGTAAAAGGGCTGACCATCCAACACCTCACAGGTACCTGGCGTAAGCAGAGTGAGGCGGTCCAGGGATTTCTCAGTACACAGGCTGTGTCCTAAGGCTCTGCTCACCCCATACCCCTGCTTACCGCCATGGCTCTGCTCACCCCCACAACCCTGCTCACCCCCACGGCCCTGCTCACCCCCATGGCTCTGTTCACCCCCACAGCCACCCAGGGCCCTGCTCACCCCCACGGTCAGCCGCAGCTGCTCCTGGCTGGGCAGCAGCACGAGGACATCCCTGTGTTCTGAGGCGTCCATTCCCAGGGTCGGCTCCTGCCGGTTGCATGCAGGCCTCTCAGGACTGGGCTCCATCCATCGCGCCCCTGAAGGAGGGAACGTGTCAGGGTTTGTCTGGGTGGGGTCTATGCCCCACCCTCTCGGGGGCACCGCCATGCTGACGTTACTGGGCCCTCCCCGGCCATGGGTCACAGGTGGGTGCTCAGCACCTCCCAGATCACAGTTGTGCCTTCTGGGACCTGCCCTTGCCGAGCTTCTCACTGGGAAGGGAACTGAGAGGGAAGCCTGGGCTGGGAACGCAGCGTGGCCAAGCCAGGGCAAGGGTCAGAGCTGCAAATAGCTGGGTGTGTGGAGGGCGCCTGGAATGCAAATAAACAACCTCAGGGCACTGGCCACGCAGCGCTCCCGTGCAGGGCAGCTCAGCACCCAGCCTCGCAGTGTGGACCTCGTGAGACCCAGGTTGGGGGAGACAGAACCCAACTCCCCCAGCTGACAACCCCTAGCTCCTCGGAGTGCCTGCTCCTTCTTCTATAATGTGGAGGGGGTCATGCAAATCCCACAGATACCAGAGCCAGGGCTGCTGGGGATGATGGAACAGCAGCAGGGGAGGAGGAGGGCGGGAGGAAGGCAGCCTGGGCGGGCACCCTGCCCCACACACCTCCTGTGGCATCTGCTACTGAGCTTAGGAAACAACACAGCGGCCATCCCTGGACAGGTTCTGCCAGGAGGGAACCTGGCTCCCTTTAGGGGCTGGAAACTGAGGACACTTCGTTCCGTGCCTAGGGCCAGCAAATCCCCCCCTGCCTGTAGCGACTGGAAGGCCAGGAAGGGGGTCCTGGCTCGGGTGGACAGCAGACGGGGGCATCAGCACGAGGGGTGGGGACATCTCCCGCAGGGCCTGGAGCCCTGGCTGCAGCTCAGCGGAGATAAGCAATGCCTTCGAGTTCTTTGGCATAGTGTTAAGGAGGGGAAGGGACCCCAGGAGCCTGCCTGGCCCTGGGAGCACCCAGACCTTTGGGCGCTGCAGGTCAGGAGACGCAGTTCCCACTGGGCCTGGGTTGCGGAATTCTGTCCTCAGCCATGCGCTCCTTCGGTTTCCTGTCATGGAGTCTGGAATGCTCTAGGACCTTCTTCTAGTAAGGGGTCTGGACCTCCAGAGGGGCAGTTGTTCATCTCAGGAAATTCGAACTCCAGCCGCCTTAAGGCCTGGCCCGGTGGGTTTAGATTTAGGAGGCTCAGGTCTCACCTTCCCCGGCCCCTGGAATGACGCTGGCTCCCTCCCTCCCTCCGCTCAGATCCGGGCCCTTCCCAGACCCTCGAGGCCACACACTCACACCCAAGACAGCAGCGGTGGTCTCTTTTCTCTCCACAGCAAGCGTAGAGCTGCTGACTATGGAAGATGTGGGGACCCCTTTAGCCGAGAGCATAGAAATTTTTTTAAATGGCAGAAAAACAGCCCCAGAGAGCAGAGGCTGGCTTCTCATGGCCCTGGCACTGGCTCTGGTGCCTGAGCAGCTCGTCCCTGTGCCGGGCGCCCTCAGCCTCTGCTCGGAGTCACAGTGCTGGCGTATCAGGAAGGGTGGCAGCAGCTGCACCTCTCAGGGATGCCTGGGCACAGGACAGTGGCAGAGGGCAGGCAGGGGCTGGGCGTTGGGGGGCAGCAGAACACCACTGCCACACACAGCACAGAGGGGACAACAGGAAGTGCACCCGTGCGCCATAGCTCAACCCATTCCACCATGTGGGCGTGAGTGTGAGACACGTGGGTGCTGTGTGAGGGTGTGCCTGTGTAGATGTGAGTGGGTACATGCCTGCGCACGTATGTTCACATGCAGCCTTAATGTCCGGGAATGCTAGGGCTGCCCACTCCTCCTCCACATCCTCCTCTGCACAATCAGCCACACCGACTAATCCTTTTCTGCACGTCACAGAACAAGGCGAGGCCCTTTACCGACTCGGTTGTGGTGGCCGCAACACCCAGTCCGTGGATGAGGTGTCTGGCTGGGCTCAGAGGCCGAGCTGCTCAGTGAGTGGCCAGCCGGGGTCTCGCTCCATGCTCAGCCTCCACCCCCACCATCTAGCCTATACTCTGCCCTCTCCCTTCGGCTACCCGACCCTGCCTGGTTGAAATCCAAAAAGAAACCCAGTGTCTGCTGGAAGGAGCCCAGGGCTGCCCGCTGGGTCCCCGGGAGGTCCCTGCTGCCCGTCAGCACCGTGAGGGCTTCTCACCAGGCTCAGTAACACTCTTGCTGTCCTTGCACGTTTTCCCGGAAAAGAATGTTGGCCAGATGCAGCACATTTTGCTCCTTGGTAAGTAGGGAAACTGAGGCACACAGCAGCGAAGTGACTTGTTCAGGTCCCCAGGCTCCAAGATTCCTGAGACCTGCCGCAAAGCTCCTCCCTGAATCTACCGACCCCTCTTCAGAAGTCGTCTCAGAAGAGAGATCATTCTTATGAGTGAACCATGCAAGCCCATCTTCTGGGACGACGGAGGCTGGTATTTGGGAGATGCGCCACCTGACTTTTGCTGCACTGCCCAAGTGGATGGCGCAGGGCCTGGGTTGGGGTGCGCAGCGGGGTGCAGGGCCTGGGGCGAGGTGGGCAGGGTGCTCCCCACTCCAGTTCTTCCCCAGGCACTGCAGGGTCCAGGTAGGGTGGCTGGCGAGTGTCCCAGGCAGCCACGGGAACCGAGGAATCCAAGCCTGGCCCAGGGCAGATGCTCTGGGCAGCCCCTCACCTGTGGCGAGTTTACGTGTGGAGCGCAGGAGGTGCTTGCCAGAAAGGAAGGAAAAGGGCAGCTGGAGACAGCCCTGTGGACACTGCGGGGCCGTATTTATTCACCACCAGCTCAGACCTCATAAGGTCCATGAACACCGTCAGCGCAGTAAACGGTGGGAGGGTGCAGGACCCAAGCCCATCACCCGTCTCAGTGGTGCCAGCTTCTTGGTCCTCTGAACTGACCTTTGGCTGTTGAGAAAGGTCAGTGACGCACTGCAGGGCGTCTCTGCTGTCTCAGACGGGATGGGTGCTGGAAAGGCCATGACCTGCCTTGTGTATCTGAGCAGCGTGGAGGGTGATGCATTCCCGCAGGGGAGGCAGCGGTGCCGGCGGGAACCGCCCCGATCGAACTTCAAAAAGTGATTCAGAGAAAGGAGCTGCTGTGAACCAAGTGCCATGAAATCAGAACGATCTCCATCAACTTGAATGAGAAGTTAAGTCAACGAATTAAGCCCAACGGGAAAGATGACTGAGAAGCCCGCCTGTTAGGACACTCCACGGGAGGAGGGTGCGAAGGGCAGCTGTGCACTCCTCATCAGGTGGCCGGGCACAGAGCAGACTCAAAAGCTCCCTCTGCCCCTCGGGAGACAGGGTGGCCTGTCCCAGGGAATGGGGCCGGCAGGGCGGGGCCCCAGCCTTCAGGTGTGGACAGCCTCCTTGGCAAACACACACCGATCTGGGGTCTGGAAGGTGCCACGTTCATCCTGTCCCTGGCCAGGGAAGACAGCAGAGCCGGAGGGCAGAGGATGGCTTATTGATGGCTTCTTTCCTTCTCTTTTTGGTGAGATGGGGAGGCGATCTCTCCCTTTCCAGCCTTTAACGTAAGTCAATTTACTTGTTACGAAGTCTCATCTCATTTAAGGCTTCCTAAATGACGGTCTCCCACACCTGGTCCCTCTTCTGAAGCCTCACTGTGGGCCTGGGGACAGAGGGTACCCCGAGTTCTGCGGGTTCTAACCGAGGAAGAATGGCCTGCAGCTTCTAGTAACCCCCACGGCCCCCCAGGTGCAAGTTGTGGGGTGTCTTCTTGGGAGAAGACTAGAGACGGCAGGTGGGGTGAAGGAGAACCCCGTTTTCAGGGGTCTGCCTCTTCCCATTGGAAACAGTTCGCCCCTGGGAGCTCATCAGCTTCTAGGGATTAGATGGACGCGTGAGGCATCACGAGGGCATGAAACCCATGCTTTGGTTAGAAAGGAAAATGGATTGGGAGCCACCACCAGGGCCACTGCGGGTGGGAAAGGTAAGTTATTTCTCAGCGCCGTGCGTATTGGGTTATGATGTACAGTGTATGTGTGTGTCTTGAGTTAAACACATTAACTGCTGAATTTAAAAAGCCTTAGAAAGTCAACAATTACAGAATACCTCTGACACGCTGCCCTTGCCATCTCTTAGAGGAGAACAAATCCCACAAAGAAGGGGGCTGGACTGCAGGGGTTTGGGGTGCCCCTGGACCGAGAAGAAAACCTCAGAGGCGTGGTCCCGTGGGGGAGGTCCATTGAGCTTGTTCCCAAGACTGTCTCTTCCCATGGGCCCTGCTCCCAAAGGCAGGCGTGCAGGACCCGGCTCCCTTCGTGAGAGCGCCCGCAGCCCCGCTGGCTCAAACTCACTTGCCCTTTGGAATGACAACGGTGCGGAATTTCGTAGGGAAAAAGCCCTCTTGTCCCTTCTGTGTTATCCTCCCAAGACCAAGACCGACTCTGAGATCAGGACATAGCAGGTGTCCCATGGTCGAGAGATGTCACCTCCCACCTCATTCCTCCTTGTCACAGGGACAGAGCAGGGCCTGCCCCACACGGGGGTGGTGACTAAACAGCCAGAGCTGGCAGCAGAAAAGGTTGAGGGGCTGCAGCAGCAGAGCAGGCTGTTGGGGGAGGGTGGGACCCACTCCAGGTCCCGTGGACACGGGTGTCACTCCTTCCCGTGCTCCTGTCTGTGCCAAGCGGGCACATTCCCACAAAGGACTGGCAGGTCCCCCCACCAACACTGAGCTCCACAGTCCCTAGCTTCCGGTTACAAGGAATATTTGGGGCAGTTGGGTGGCTCTGAGTAGAGTCCCTGAGCCAGGCAGTCATTAACGGCAGACCAGGATGCAGGGGTGACCTGGATCCTAGAGAACTAGAAAGGCCCCAGCCTGAGGGCCTGTGGGGAGCCAGGCCTTTCTCACCTGACGCACCGTGTGGAAGCTGCAGGAACTGACTCCACCAGGCCAAGGGGGCCGCACAGGCCCTCACCTTCTAGAAAGCGGCAGCAGCCTGGCTCAGGATGGCCACTACTCCGGCCTCCCTCCACATGGCCGCCTGGAGGGAGGGAGACCTTGTGGCGGGGACATCGGAGGAGCCCTCTCAAAGGCTTGGGACAGCCGTGGGGGGGCCTCTGGGTGCTTCAGCCCCTGGGAATGTGCCCCTCTTGCCATTTCTATGAATGGCCACCCACAGCCACACACCCGGCCATGGATCCCCAGGACGGGCCACTGGGCTCCAAGGGGTGTGCAGAGGAGGTCAGTCACTTTCAATGAAGACACAACCTCCATAAGAACAAACGGACCAAGGAGGCCCAGACAGAAGGGCGTGGCCACCAGCATGGCCACCGTGAGAACTGTAGGGGGATCCGCAACCACCTCCCAGGTGTCCCTGCTCCAAAGCCTTCCATGGCTCCCTATCGCCCAGCCACAGCATCCAAAGCCGTCCATGGCCCCTATCACCCCAGCCGCAGCATCCAAACCTTCATGGCTCCTATCACTAGCCCGCAGCATCCGAGAAGCCTTCATGGCTCCTATCGCCCAACCACAGCATCAAAGCCATGGCTCCTATCCTTAGCCACAGCATCCAGAAGCCCAACCCCATGGCCCCTATCACCCAGCCACAGTATCCAGCTTCCATGGCCCCTATCCACCCAGCCACAGTATCCAAAGCCTTCCATGGCCCCTACTCATACCCAGCCACAGCATCCAAAAGCAAATCCATGGCCCCTATCACCAGCCGCAGCATCAAAGCAAATCCATGGCTCTCTATA